ACCAAAGCTCATGTGGAGGAGACACTGAATAAGAGTGAAAATCAGTGTACAACCCCAGCTCACACACAGAACGCTTGAGATACTCGAGAGAGGATGCTGGCTGAAAGCAAGATCCCAACCATCCAAAGAGCCATAATAAAGTCCCCAAGGGTCCCCACATGTACTCACCCAGCACCAGCCACCACCCTGGGGTGCTGATGCTTCCCCAGTTTCAAGTCAATAGGAATAGTGTCATGTGGGGGGAACCATGCAAGGACAGGGGCGACAGAATATGTGGTCTTCGGATTTTCCTTTAGGGAATTTGAGGGACCCAGGACTGTGGTCACCTGACTAAGGATATACCCATTAGCCAATTTGTATTTTGGCCCTATTTGTGCAAGAAAATCCAAGAACTAGAAATGGGGACACTGAGGTGCCACCAGTAGTACCAGTCTGCAGGCTCTCACACTGAGCAGACACAAATGCATTGGTCATCACTGGGGTATGAGCTTGGGTGGAAGATTATGTTTTCCAAGGAGCAGACACTTCTCCTTTTTCCAAAGAGAGACAGGAACGGATCCATAGGGGACCCTAGAGGACTCCACACAGGACACAGCTAGGCCAGGGCCAGACCTCAGCTGTCCAGGTCCCTGCATTCCCATCCTAGCCTTGCTCCTGATGATTCAGTAAAAATGTGTTTAAGTTAGATGAGAAACTGTAACATTGGACTGCAAATCAGTACAGAATTCAGCAAAGTAAATCAAAGCATAAAAGAAATAATAGACCATGCAACTTGAAAAACAAAGAAAGAACGATCTACTGAAACATCTACCAACATAGTGGTTAAGCTGATAGTTGCTTCTCTAAACTCATCACCTTCATTGACTGAGAATAAGTCCAAACACAAAAACAAAAAGAAAGTTAAATATTTACACAAATCAGAACTAAGAAATAAGACTTATAAATCAGTACAAATGATTCCTAAAATAGGGGGTCATTTTTTTCTTGCCTACATGTGACTATTGCAACCAAGTGGGTCAAACACAACAAAATGTGTTTAAGAAATAAAGATCTGATGGAGTAATAGGAAGTAATAATGAAAAAGCAAAACAAAGGCACCCTTGGCCTTAGGGATTTGTACTAAGAATTTTCAAAGCTTTCCAGAAAGGAAGGTGTGACATGAATTGTCATAAATTCCACCCCTGTATGGCATGAGAAATGTCCCTGGGGAGACAGTGCAATGGGGATGGTTGCAAAGCCCTGTCCTTTATAGGTCTGGGTCTACTATAAGGTGCTGGCCTCTTAGAGAAAGAACATGGTCAAAAGTGCCCTGTGCTCCTGCCCAGCATTCTGGGGAGGGTCAGAGAGAAAAGGGTGGGGAAGAGGGAGAGGGGACACAATGAATACCTAGGGTACATAGGGTTCTTTGTGTTTTTTTTTTTTTTTTTTTTTTTTTTTTTGCAAATCTTTCCAAAGTCTGAGACTATATCAAATAAAAATTTTTTAAGGAAATACATTTACCACCTGACCCAGGACACACAAACATATATTACTAATTAAAATAAAAGTAAAGTCAAAAACAGCCCAGATTGACTGCATAAGTGGAATTCCAAATTTTAAAATTATTTTTCTTTATTAAAAAAGGCATTCTCCATCCACATCACTGCTCCGTAACAGGAGGTGATTATCCCCTCAGGGGACTCGGCAATGCTCACAGATTTCTCTGAATTGCCACAACTGAGAAGTGCTACTGGCCTCTCAAGATCAGGTGTGCTGCTAAACACACACCCCCCCCCCGCCCCACCCACTCCCAGCAATGCACAGCACGGTGCCCAGAACAAAGACTTAATGTGGTTCCCAGTGGCAGTTGTGCCCTGGTTGAGAAACCCTGGACTACAGACCATGAGTAGATCAAATGCCACAACTGGGGCTGTGGTTGTAGCTCAGTGGTAGAGCACTTGCCTAGCATGTGTGAGGCACGGGGTTCAATGCTCAGCACCACATATAAGTAAATAAATAAAATAAAGATCCATCAATAACCTAAAAAAAAAAAAAGCCACAACTGGACCACTGTCCTAGAAATGCTGGCGAGCAGGAAGGAGGCCTGAGCAGCCCTCCCTGGACACCAGTGACAGGGTGCAGCCTGCAGGGAGGAACTAGGAACACTCTGACCCAGGGGGCGGCCCTGTGGCCTCAGGCTGCACATGGGGAAGAGACAAAGAGGGTGGGGCAGAAAACTGGGACTAGCAGCTGGGGAGGCTGGGCAGCCTGCACTTCCAGGGTTCAGGGTAGAGAGGGGGTGTCTGTGATCACCCAGCACCCTGTCCCAGAGCCGGGCAGCCTTAACCCAGCTCTAGCGTGGTCATTTCTCCAGAGCTGCTGGCCCAGGGCCAGACAGGAAGAACTGAGCTTTTTTAAAGAGGTGTACACCATGTCTGAGAAGGATGTGCAGAAAACGTCTACAGGTCACTTCCAACTTACAAAGACTTGACTAGGACCCTTCCTGCACTTAATATCCCCCAGGGGAGGCCACACGATGAATACATGAGCACCAACAGACCACCACGCCAACAGTGATGGGCATCCCCACAGCAGCACTGTCTCCCACTCTTCACACAGCTTTAAAAGCCTCCCAGACACGTTCCAGTACATGACCTGGGCAAAACACACAGGCAAACAGATGGTTTTCCCTGTGGAGGCCCTTAAAATACCCATGATGAACAGGGACATTTACCCGGAGAGAAGATAGCTTACCTCCAAACCTGCATCCAGTTCATTCCAAATTGAAAAAATACTCAGGTAAATGGATATGTCCTAATATTTTTGTATTGTATTTCATTTAATAAACGGATTCGTTCACTAGAGCCATCATTTGAGTTCATTTATTTGCTATATATAATAGGGTTCTCCACAGAAACAGAATATACATGTATACAGAGAATGTGTGTGTGTGTGTGTGTGTGTGTGTGTGTGTGTGTGTGTGTAGTAAATGTACACAGACAAACATTTTTTAAGACAGAAATTGCCTCACATATTTATGGAGAAGGAAAAGCCCATGATCTCTGCAATCTAGACAAGCAAGGAAATCAGTAGTGTAATTCTGTCAAGTCTGAAGGTCTGGGTAGGTGGAGGGGCTACAGCTTAAGTCCCAGAGAAATTGTATGGTATAGAACCAGGAGCCTAGAAATCCCAGGTAAGATGGATGTCCCAAACAGAGAGAAAAAAATTCACCCTTCCTTTGGATAATGACTGCCCACTTTGGTAAGGATTATCCTCTTTACTAATCCAAATGCTAATCTTTTCTGAAAACACCATTGCAGGTGCACCCAGAAATAATGTCTTATCACCTATGTGGGCATCTCTCAGCCTAGTCAAGTTGATACGTGAAATTGACCTTCACATTATGTGACAGGACCTAGAATAGAACCACAGTTAATTACTTATCCCTACAGGAAACAAAGGTTTTGACTGCAGCAGGCTCATCTTTCAACCTTCCACAGGAATTGACTAATCAACACAGAATGAGTAAACAGAGAAATTTATGCAGGGAGATTCATGGACAGTGATTCCTCTGTGGACACATGCACAACGAATAATTTACAAAGAGTAAAGTGGAAAACTACAAAGCATTATAAAGCTATAAAAGTATCATGAGATGGCAGTGTTGGCCCCCACATGCCTACATAATGTAGAAAGAGGTCCTTGTGACTTACAGTGCCACCAAAAATTAAAATATTCTATCTAGAGATCATCAAATAGTCTATTAATAATAATCATTACAACATTTTCCCCATTACCTTATAGTATCTGCTTGGTGACCTACCCAAATAAAATAACCAAGCACTGGGAGCGAGTAGTTTAAAGATGATCATCATGCTAGAAAACAAGTTTTAAAGTTAGTTAAATGCACAGATCTAACGGCATGATGTTGCATTCCTGGTGACAAAAACACTCAGGGTCACTCCAGGGGAAATGGGCTGCATGATATAACCACAAAGAGACAGAGATACCTTTTTCTTTTTGGGGGTCTTGTGATGGATCCTCTGACCTTAAGGGTCCACAGAAAGAGAGAGCAAGCGCCAGCGCATGCTGACCCCTTTTATTGAGGAGAAGTCATTCAAGTGAGGCAAGGGGTCAGGTTTCAAGGGGCTGAGTCTAGCTTCATGATGTCTGCTGGCAGGAGGCTGACATCTAGGAAGGCCACACCCAAAGGGAGAGCAAGAGAAAGGGACATTCTGTCCCAAACATGGCAAAGGGGTAATATCACAAAGGAACAGGTGAGCGTAGCTCGACCCATGGGGCTGCAGGAAGGCACACCTAAGCATGAAGATACATTTAGCGACATTTTTACGACTCACAAGACTGGACCACCATCTATGGCCACTTTGATGTGGTCAGATCACAGGAAGTGACCAGCAGAGCCTCAACCGATCAGGAAAGGTCACAAGGCTTGGTGGCCTCCCACAGCATGAGAATGACTAGACAAACTATATTGAGAGTATATGTACACATTAATCTCACCTATCCAAAGAAATGAGCGTCAAAGGAGAATTTGAAGTGGTGCCACTAAAGATAGAATGAACACCTGCTATATTCCGAGCTGTTCTGAGTATTATTCAAATATTGATGTACCAGTGAACAAGGAGAAAAACACATGGCCTCCTGCCATTGACTTCTTCCCTCCATGAGGGAGAAGATGGTGAACACAAACACAAATAATGTATGTTGGATATGTGTACTGTTCACTGAAGCACAACTGAGATGCACAGATCACCAGTGTATACCTCTATAGATTCTGACATATGTCTACTTTATGTAATCACCACCCATTTTGAGATATGGAACATTCCAGCACTCTACAAGTTCCCTTCAATAGGAAGCTTCCACCCCATCAAGGTCAGCATTTACCTGACACCTATCACCATGCAGTCATTTTCCTTGTTCTCCATTTTTATATAAATAGAATGATACCATTGGTACTTTTGAGTCTGGATCCTTTTACTCAAGATTACAGGCTCATCCATGTTGTCATGCACAGCCTTAGCGCATTTATTTTTAACGTAGCGTACCATGTCATAACAAGAATAGTAGAACTATATTAATAAAATGGTTTATTTGTCCATTCTTCAGTTGAGGTCAGTTGTGGGCTATTTAAAATCAAGCTGCTTTCAAATCTTGTTGCACATGTCTTAACATGTCTTTTGGGAGACCAAAAACATTCATTCTTGTTGGGAGGGATCCTGGGTCATAGGTACTTGCATGTTTAGGTTTAGATGTCGTTGCCACCATTACAAAGTAGTTGTCCCACCAGCAATGCATCAGAGTTACAGTTAATCCATAAATTCAAGCTACTGTCCGTTCACGGAATGTCAGCCATCTGAGTGAGTATACACCTGGATGTATATGGTATTTATAACTACTCTGCTATGTAATGGTGTTTACCATGTTTTCATATGTTTCTTGGCCATTAGAATATTCATTTTTGAGAAACATCTATTCAAGTCTTGACCCATTTTTGGATATAATTTTCTAGAAATACAGCTGTTGTTGTAAGAGAACTTCCTTGATGAGCAACAGTATCTCTCACCTGAGTCTTCCCTAAATGCCTCTGCTTTAGTTTGGATCCTGAATGTCCCTCAAAGGCTCATGTGTTCATGGCTTGGTCATCAGGGTGGCACTATCCGGAGGTAGTGGAACCTTAGGAGATAGGGCCTAATAAGAGGTACTCAGGTCATTGGGGACTGGCCCTCAAAAGGGATCATGGGACTCTATCTCCGGAAGGACAGACAGCAACTCCCTGGTGTAGGGTGCTATAATTTAGAACAGGACAGCACCTAGGGGCTGGACGACAGGTAGAGCCAGGACAGGTTTACACAAGTTCACACCAGTTTTTCTACCAATTGTATACGGCCCTCATGTAACTATTTGAGGGCAAGGGCATGGGTCACTGACATGGGCTAAGGACATGTGCTAAGGATACAGGATAGGTTGCTCAGGAGGGCTTGTTTTGCCTTTCAAAGGCTCATGGGTGTTTTGGAGTTTCTTTTGAGACTCGTTCAGTCTTTCTTTTTCTGTATCTCCAATTCCCATCTGAGGATTAGAGGGAGAAAGGAGGGCCAATAAGGCTGTGGGTATGATAGGGGGATGGACAGAAGAGAAAAAAATGAGAAGATAATGCCAGAGCTGCATGGGGTCTGGCCCTTTCCCAGGGCCCTGGCAGCAGAAGAGAACAGGCTCCTCACTCCCTGATCCTATCCTTTCAAGGCCCTACTTGTTGCCCCATGTAGCCACCTTTGTGTACAGAGGTTTGGGGAGGAAGCGGCTGGACTTCATGTAGGCAGAGATCTTCTTCAAGCCCTGCAAGTGGGAGAGAGAAAGCAGAACTCAGGACTGCTGAGGTTCAGAGAGTTTAAGTTGACTTCCCCATGCTCACACAGCTACTAAGTGGGACAGACTGGATGCAGCCTGGCTGTGTATCTCTGATTCTGTGCTCTCTCAGCTGCACTCCTCACCTCCCCTTCCCACCAGAGGCCCTGTCCCCACTATCTGCACAAACAATCTCCTTTTTCACAGGAGGCTCATTCTTGCCTCTTGAACACAGAAGAAGGACTGAGCATGACACAGGGCAGCTTGGGAGAGATCCAAGATTATTCACCCAGTGACTCAGCAAAACCCGGATGATAGTATGTAACTGGAAACGGACCCACAAAGAAAGGACAACTCTAATCACTGCCCTGAAGCAGAAAGTCCAAACTTCTCCACCCTGTACCTGAGTCCAATCTCACTGTGTTCCAAACTACCTCTTCTCTAGCCCCACTACACGGGACCAGGCAGTATAAAAGCCTGGTGTATTTGTGGGCCTCCTTTAGAGGACAGGGACTGCACAGACGCTTTCTAAGGGGTTCAGTGCAAATCAGGGCTGCTGTGCCCAAAGGATCAAGCCCACACTGGGCTCAGGCCACAGCCCTCAGCTTCCCACACTCCTCACTCCCAGGCTTAATCCAGCCCTTACACAATCCCCAAAGCCACTCAGCCTGGACCAAAACCAGAGCTGGTAATAACTAGCTGAGACAGCGCATTTCTAGACAAGGAGGGGGAAAGGCTAAAATACTGAATCTGCTAAAGAGGTTGTGTTGGTGACAAACAAGGGAACCTGGGGTGACCCATGATTGGCTCTACGGTGAGGTACAGGCTGTGCTTCCTAGAACACAAGTGGTACCACGGACACCTCATAGTCTGATACCTGCCATTCCCTGCTCCACTCAGTCTGGGCATGGGGAATCTTTGCATGCCCCACGGGACCTGACAGCAGACCTCACATGGAGGAAACCATCACGGAAAATAAGTGTATGAGTGAAAAATAAGGGTATGGCCCCATTTCGCAGATGAAACACTTAGAACACTGAAAAGAAGAAAGAGGTCAAGGGAGAGGAAAGGAAAGTCCCACACCATAGAACACTTCAGGATAAAGTCCTCTAACATAGACACCCATATATGTACCCAATTCAGCACCAACTTCAGCTCTAGCGTTCAGTGTGTCCTCAGATGGGGGTCCAACTGGTGCAAAAAATTCTGCCTCTGGCACAAAATATATCCACTGACCGGTGTCCTTAGGAGCCACAAGCTGACATGGAGCCCAGCACAGCCTCTACTGGCACTGGGACCCTGAGCAAATGGCTAACCCTCTACACTGTTTCCTTATCTGTCCAGAGGGACTGATAATTTTATGTACCCTGCAGGAATGTTGTAATGATATATTTGAACAATAGATGCAAGGTGATAAACATGGGTCCTGGCACAAAGCCAGTGCTCAATAAATGCTCTCTCTTCTTCAATTAGCTTCATGACTAAGAAAACATAGTGGGAGGAGAGAAGGAAAAGTTGATAGCCAAGAGGAAAGAGGGTGAGAGGAATCACCTCAAAGCGGGATACGAAGTCCTTCAGGTTCGAAAATTCATCCAGGCACTTAGGGTGAAATATTCGGTGCAGGTCAAGTAAATCATAAGCAAGGAAATCCACAAAGGTGATCTGCAGAAAGCCAAGGATGAGTGGGCATGAAATTTTGTACCCTGGAAAGGGTGAAAAGTCCCAATTCTTTTGTTTTTACCTTATCACCAACAAACCATGGCTTCTTCCCCAGGAACTGTGAAAAGAGCTTCAGTGCCTCTGGGATGCGCTCCAAGTACTCTGGCTTCAGTTTCTCCTGAGGCAGAAAATAGTTGTCATTATCCTAAGAAATAAGTTCCCTGGTAGAGTGATGAGGCTCAACATTGCTATTCATGGCCCCAGCTAGCCCCGAGTGAGAAGTCATCTTACCTAAAATGGGGATAAAATCACTATCCAGTTTTTTTTAATTTAATGAATTGGCATTTATTGATTCCTATAGGATACCTGACCCCATCCTTTAGAAATGATAGAACATCAAAGAAGAATAGAACATTATCTCCAACGAGACATTACTACCAACCACCACCTGTGGTTTTTGACCCATGAGTGCCCTGAGCACCTGGCAGGCTCTGGACTCAGATGTTAGGCAGTATCAAAGAAGCATGAACCAAAAGAGCCCAGGAAAGATGATGAAAGTTCTACCTAAAAGGTTCCAGAAGAATGAAATACACATTTGAGTTTTTCCCATAAAGTAAGGAGTATTTGAGGCTGATAAGAAGGAAGGAGAGGAACCTCTGGCTGACGCTTAGTTGCCTAATAGAAAAATTGATTTATATGGGTATGAAGGAGACAGCACCCGAAAACACTTGGTTGAAGGTCAAAACTCAAGAGTTCTGTAACAATCCATCTTTTTGTACTTCCTTTTCTCATAGACTTAAGTATGTGCATTTCATGAGAAGACACATGATGTAAACCAGCTGGGAGAGGGCCTAGGGCAGAGATGAAAAGTGGAAAGAATTCCAAAATTTGACTTTATGCTCTAGGAAGTAAATGTCCACCTTGAGGAGTCTGGACTATACCTTATAATGGTGGGGATTGAATAAAAGTGTTCATTTGACACAATCTGATGTTACAAGGGACACTCACAGAAGCATGCAGAATATACTGGAGGATAAGCAGCACTAAGGAGTTCAAAAGTGAAACAAGACTCATCTAGAGGGGATTCCAGGAGTCCAGAATCCTAATCCAAATCCTGCCAGGTCCAGCCCAGTGGGGGTAGGGGTGGTCAGCAGATGACTCACAAAGTCTGGGCTATAGCAGACTCTAGCCAGCTCATTGGCAATGTCCATAGCCTGGTTCTCCAAAATGTCCACACGAATCATCTCCTCTTCTGTCTCCCCACCTGCCTCACACACAACAGAGACACACCTTCAGCCTCCCACCCAGCCAAGCCAGGGATACAGCCACCATCCCCCACACCCTGCAGCCAGCCCCACTCACACAGGTTGTGCTTGCGGGCAATGTAGCGCAGGATGGCGTTGCTCTGGGTGATCCTGTGAGGCCCGTCAATCAAGTAGGGCAGCTGGATGGACAACCAGGGATGGTCAGGTGAGATGCAAGGACCCACTTCCCCTTCCCTGAGTTAGGGACATGGAGACCTGGTACTTGGTAGGCCTGGCCCATGGTTATCACCCTGTAGAATAAATGATCTGGGACACAGACCATCACACAAAGACAGTGTAGACACACAGAATTGAGAGTAGTTGAACAGAAATACTGATCTCGAAACTCTAAACTGGGACATAAAGATGAGGAAGGGATGCCTTCAGTTTCCCAAACTACCCGGTCCTCCGACCTACATTGGGAAAGTCCAGGCCCAGCTTGAATTTCTCATCCAGCCACTGGCTTCTGTCATAGTCTGGAGCTGTGGAGGAGAAGATGATGTGAAAGTAAACCTCCCCTGAGTCTAACACTCCTTCCCCGCACCCTTCCAAGGAGGCAGATGCAAGACCCCTAAGAGGGTAGATCTGGAATCTCAGACACTCCATTTCACATTCCAAGATTACAGGGAGTAATGAATGCTTTCAAGGGCCATGAATCCAACATGATTGAGGCTTACAAAATGTTCCGACAAGGGCTAAGGGGAACCCAACAAGATCACAGAGGAGGAGCCAGCACTCCACTCCCAGAGTCCTGCCTTGTAAGACCAAACTGCACCCTCAAGGAGGTTTCTGGGAAGGCGCAGGCTCTAAGTGCACCAGGAGGAGTTCTGCAGAGCTGAACAACAGGTGGCCAGGCCATGGGCCACAGAGCACCGATCAGCAGGAGCTGGGGACCAAACAGGAGGGTGACATTACCGTCCCCCATGGTGTATCTCTTCTCCTCATAGTTTGAGTCTGTGTATTCCAGGAGCAGGCGGATGGCATGAGCCAGCTGGGAGAGATGACGATGGCAGAGGTCAGAGATGGAGGGACCCTGATTTCACCTCCCCCACGAGGACCTCCCACCCACACCTAACACCACCCGCCTCCCGCGAGCTTGCGCACTCTGGAGCTCACAGTGTGTGAGGAGAGCGCCTCAGAGAGACAGGCAGAAGACTCCAGCAAATTCTGAAGAGGATTCGTCTCCTAGAAACCGCCCCCCTCTGCTCCACACGTCTCGTGCCCACGCAGCCCCGCCCCCTCTCACCCGCCAACTCACCCCGCGGATGTCCCAGTAACCCAGTATCATGGGCATGGTGCGGGTGTTGTGGGGGAGCCGACTGGCCTCGGTGGGGCTGAGCCCTGACTTTATGCTGGCGCCGGGCAAGGGAGGGGGCGGGCCCTGGTGGCCGGTCCCGCCCCGCCCCTCTTACGCACGGTCCTCCCCCCGCCCCTCACACCCGAGGGACCTCTTTGCTCAAATCCGGAAAGAATAAGATCCAATTCCGCCTCCAGCCCCGCCCAGCGGCTCCTGGCCCTACCCTCTGCTGGGTTCCTGGGGAGTAGGCCTTGCGCTGGGAGCGCGGTACTTGGCGAATAGCTGACTACCCGTTCTCCCTTCCTTGCCCTCCTCGCAAAGCTCAGCCCCTGGATTGTCGATTTCCCGCAGGTTGTGGGAGGATCAGGCCATAAGTGCTACTCCCACCCGAAAGTTTTAATTTGGCACTTCGCCCCCGTTAAGTCATACAAGCCTTGGTCTGCAACGTTTTGCTGATTTGGGTTGTTGAGACATGAATCCCTATTGCAAATGCATTCCACCATTCAGACAAGACCGATCTCGCAGACTCCGTCTGGGTCCTGCCTCAGTAGCGGCCTCTAGCTTCAAAGTGAATTCTTTTCTAGGTTTGCACACTGTGAGACGATGGTACTAGGGCTTAGTCCTACCAATAACCACGTGTCACCTAACGGAGTTGGATAATGTCTTTATTGTGTGAACATCATAGCGTACTTGTGCAGACCTAGATAGTGTAAGTCAGTTACTTGAGGTGGCCTTTTTGATTCAATCAAGAGGAGAGAACATGAGATGAATGAGGCTGCTGCTAGTATAACATCGTGTTATACAGTTAACATTTTTTATGTAAGCTGGAAGAATATAATCTACACTGACCATAGTAAATTCATAAACCAGTAACATTTAATATAATTATTAAGTATTATGTACTGTGTACATTGTATGTGCTCTTTTTTTTGGGGGGGGGAGGGGGTGTTGTTTTGAGACATTCTCACTATGTTGACCAAGCTGGTCTTAAACTGATAGACTCAAGCATTTCACCTGCCTTAGCCTGGGGAATAGCTGGGACTACAGGCCAAGGCTATCACGGTGGGTGTGTATGTGCTAGTCTTTCATATAGTTGACAGCACAATAGGTTGGTTATACTTGCTAAATCTAGTTTGCTTAACATTTTTATTTTAACATCAGCATGACCTACACTCAACTTCTCTCCTTCTTGGTTTATAAAAACATTAAAGAATGTCCTGTATTTTCAAAATACCTGCTCCTGTCGTTCTTACCTGACTTCCAGTCTTCAATACCCAAACTACAGTCAACTGGAGGGACTGTTAATTAATGAGTAATGCATTGTGCCATGATGTTAAGAGAGCTACAGCATCACTAATCAATAAAAATTTTAAAATTCCATTATAGTCCTATGGAATCACCTTCATACATGGGGTCTTTGACCAAAATGTGGTTAAGTGACAATGTGACTATACTTATAGTTCTTATCATATATTAAGTGTATCATTTCAAAAGTTTTATACATCTTGACCTTTGAAAGACAAAATTTCCAGATTCAACTGAGAAAATGATTTTTAAAGCCAACATTAATTAGAATAATTATGAAACAACAGACATTGTTACATTAGTATTCATTTATTTGGTCACTCCTTTTTTTAAAAAAGGTCAGCCACATGCCTATAATCTCAGTTGCTTGTGAGGCTCAGGCAGAAAGATCACAAGTTCAAGATCACCCTCAGCAATTTAGTGAGACACTGACTCAAAATGAAATTTTTAAAAGGCTGTGGATTTAACTCAGAGGTAGAGCATTCCTTGCACCCCTCAGTACCCACCGCCACATACACACACACACACACACATATATATACACACACACACACACAGTTGTTGAGTTCCTACAACAGATAGGCCCCATAGATAAGATAGTCCCTCAAGTTGCCTGTAGTTTGGCTATTTGAGACTGGAAGTCACACAAGAACTACAGGGAGGATGTTTTGAAAATATGAGACATGTCTTGGTGTTTTTATAAACTGAGGAAAGAGGCTGAGTGCAGGCCATGCTGGTGTTAAAAGAAAAATGTTAGACATATTAGTAGAGTTTTAGCACAGAATGATTTATGAACAGGCAACACTTGGAATCAGGAGAGGTTGAGAGCACCCCCACCCCAGCAATGTGGGCAGGCAGTATTTATCATGAGAAAATGGAAGTGAAATATAAAACAGTTTGATTGGTCACAGTTCAGCATTTGCTTTTTAAGGACATGGTCTTATGAGTTGACCACCTGTAGTTGACTGAATCTCAGGCTGTTACGATTGGCTGAAATTCAACTACCTATCAAAAGAATACACTCTCAGTTAGGTTGCAGTTTGTTTACAAACAAGTTAGGTTGCAATTCATTATGCTTGGAGGTAGCTTAACACAAATTAAACTTAACATTGGCCAGAGCAAGGACTCTGAGGAGCAGGTAAGATGGATCTCAGAGCACAAAGGCCCCTTCACAGAAGGAGGACAGCTGTATATAAGAAAGGGAAGTACTAGACCAGCAGGCTCTCAAAGGTGGGTCCCAGGAGCCAGGAGGATCATCCCAAGGGTTGCTAAGAGTTTCTGAAAGCCAACAGGGAGCATTGAGATTAGGGACACTGGAAAGTGGTTCCCTTCATCATAAAATGTGTTCTGTGATTGTTGAGAAGAGTATTCTTCATGTCTGTTGATTTTTAGGTGGCTTATTGTTATTCAAGTCCTCTCCTTGCTTATTTTCTTTCTGCCTGTCCCACACATCATTAGAGTGGATAATTAATGCCTCCCACTGTTATTGTCTATTTCTCCACTCAAGGCTGCCAATTTTTGCTGTTGTGTCTTGTTTTTCTGTTCCCACTGTGAGAGATGTAGCCTGTAGTTTGTATGAAAAGGAATCACCTAATCCCCTACTCCAGAAGTTCTCCCAAATATCTGCTTGCTTCATTTTGCAGGGAGCGGGCTTCTAGATACCCTTTTTATGTAAACTTGATTATCAGTGAAATGGTAGTTTTGAATGACTGGAAATCTCTAACAAGGAGTTGGAACCATGGGGTAAATTAGTGTGCAGGAGAAGGTGTAAGCCTGATGTCACACACAATGTTGTATCTTAGTGGAACACAGATTGCACTGGGAGTATCAGTTGTTATCAGAAGGAGTGGATCATTTTTATATCCCTTGAGATGGACAAAGTCCCTAAGTGGAATTAAGCAGTTCCTGCAAAACAAGTGAGATGTCTTTGAAGAAAGCAAACAACTGTAGCAACCAGAATAGCCTCAATATGAGTCCTTATCAATTGGTCTAGCCAATAGGACTGTAATGACCTCAACAGGAGCGTTGTTGAGTTCTGCAAGAGTGCAGGTTGGAGTTAATGATATGGGAGAAACATAATTCACCACATGGAACCTGTGAGAGGAAAGTTTCTTTTTGAAATTTTTAAAAGAACAGCTATTAAATTTTTGTCAGCAGTCTCAGGAGAAAGTGACAGGTCTAGCAATTGTTAGAATGGCAGCAATACTCTGGGAGAAACATACAAGAAAGTTTTGTGTTCTCTTAAGTGGTAGATGCAGAATACAAGGGGTCAGAAAGAGAAGGATGAAGATATGTGAGATAAGGTTTTAGAGGGCTTCAAAGTGGGATGAAAAGATGAAATAATAAAAGGGAGTTGAATAGGAATGTTAATCTTGATTGAAAATCTGGGGCAGAAGCTGTCACCTCTGAACTAAGCATCTTAGGAAGATTCTAAGAATCTCAGTCAAAGATTTCCAATGGAATGAGTGCATTAGTAGTCTGTATATATATAGTAGTCTGTATGTATACGAGAACCATTAACCTAAGAATCAGTACTTTGGAGTCTCGCTGCTATCAGTTGTTAATAGTACCTGATAAAATCCTTTTCAATGAGACTCAAGGGCAGTTCTTGTCAGGTATTTCCTGAACACTGAATCTCCTGTTGTAGATCATAGGCAGGCAGTTTGGCAGTGCAGTTTGGATCTATTGATGATAGAGGTATCATCCTTTGCAATTTCTTTATTTTCCTTGCAATTTCACTGCAATCACATAGAATCTAAGATTGGGGGTGAAATTTTCAAATACACAGACCAGCCTGTTATTAATTCATAAGGAGAAGGTCAATCTTGTACTCATTAAAGCTAATGGTAATATTTTAGGCCCCAGGAGTTTAAGGCCGTTTTGTTGATTTTAGTTTTACAATTCTATCAGTTCTATTTTTCCTGAAGACTGTCAATGATAAGGACAGTAAAGTTTGGGGGTAAAAGACAAACTTTACAGAGTTCCTTAATAACAATACCAGTAAACTGAGCGTCTCTGTCTTATTGGAGAGATAAATGGAAATTTCCAGGATTAAAAACAAAAAACTTTGGAGATTGAACTCAGGGGCATTTGGCCACTGGGTCACATCCCCAGCCCCATTTTGTATTTTATTTAGAGACAGGGTCTCACTGAGTTGCTTAGCGCCTTGCTTTTGCTGAGGCTGGCTTTGAACTCCAGATCCTCCTGCCTCAGCCTCTCTGAACTGCTGGGATTACAGGCATGTGCCACTGCACCCAGCAAAAAAATCAAAAAACTTTTAACCACACTTAGAGCTATAGCTGTACATCAAGGAAAAACTTTAAGGCATGGCGAGGGCAATAAATACCAAAACAGAAACTAATCAGAAACATGTTTAAAATTCATTGCAGAAGGTATAAAGTGCATTTAGAGGTTAGAAGGGCCTTCAAAATCTTGGTTCTTGGGGCTGGGGCTGTAGCTCTGTGGTAGAGCACTTGCCTAGCATGCGTGAGGCACTGGGTTTGATCCCCGGCAACGTGGGAGACCCTGGGTTCGATCCTCAGCACCACATACAAAAATAAATAAGTGAAATAAAAGTGTTGTGTCCAAATACAACTAATAAGTAAATAAACAAATAAAGGTATTGTGTTCATCTACAACTAAAAAAAAAATTAATAAAAAAAATCTTGGTTCTTGTCCTTATCCCACACTTAGATTTATTAGGATCACATTGTTGACAGTAAGATGTGTTTTGGTAATACCAATAAATTATCCCCACCTATGCTGATTT